GGGGGGGGGGGGGGGGGGGGGGGGGGGTGCCATATCTGCGCCTCCTACGGTAATCTAGCAACCTGCATCTCGGCTTCGTTGCCGTCCGACTTGGGGTTGTTGTCTTCGCAAACAACCAGTGCCGCACGTTCACGGATCCCATCGCCAAGTGATGCCCCACCCCCACCCACCGCGAGCACGGTAAGAGGCCATTCACCATTCACACAACCATGCATCATCATCATCATCATCATCATCATCATCATCAGAGATAACGGTTAAGGTTGGGTGGCTGCGGCGGCCTCTTAGCAACTGAGTCAACATGCCATCGATCAATCGACGCTCAGAACACACGAGAGACCCGTGACCAAGCTTTACTTTCAGATGGGTGGTTCTGAACCACAGTCTCATTCTGATTCTCATTCTGAGTCTGAGTCTGAGTCTGAGTTACAGTGTAAGTGTGGGTCTGGACCTGACTCCGAGTCTCACATCTTTGCGCGGTTGCCGTCCGAGCTTGACTGCTGGAGCTTGTCCGCGGCGGCCTGCAGGTCGGCCTCGTGTGTCGACTTGAGGCCACTCACCGTCTTCTCGAAAGCCGACTGCTCTTCTGCCAACCTTCCCTCAACGTGGGTGCGGCACAACAATAGAATCCAATCGAACGATGGGTACGGGTGAGCATTGGGCGTTGGGAAAGGACCACGAACGGGATTCCGCGTTGAGAGAACAGACGTGTAGGACTCCGTGACAGAGACAACTTGTTTTGTTGGGAAGGGGAGAGGAGGATATTGGATGTTGTGGAGATGGGTAAGGTTCAGGTAAGGGTGATGGACAACGACATGGTTGTTTCCTTCATAATTTTGGGGTTGTGTATGTACAGCATGTGCGTGGAGAGAAATGGCCATGAGGGATGACGATCGACCCCCGATGAAAGAGCGTCCCGCGTTCGATCGATTTCGACAATTGCTGTGTTGGTTGCACCACGAAACGCCTCTTGGCTTCGGCGAAGGAGAAAAGCAACGCGGTTGATGGACGGACGGATGGAACGATAAATTAGCACACGACCTTAACCTTGACAAATGTGTGTGTGCACGAACCAGCGAAAAAAATCAAAAGGACAAACATAAAACAGAACGTCATTGTGGTGTCGAATGCTTCCTGATTGTCGAGCTAGACCATAAGACTTCGGGGGTGATCGAGAGCAATCTGTGCAAGCTGACACTGGCCGAAAAAAACGCGCGGGCGTCGCTTCCCTCCACGTCTCAGTCGACCAGTACAGTACCCGACAAGCAGTGGCAGTCAAACTCAAGCGGCAGCAGTACGTTTGGAAGAGAGCCGTGGTAACACGAATTCCTCCCAAAACGGCCAACGGAGTAGGATTGTGCCAGTGCTATTCTACAGAACCCTCAGGGGAGGGCACACTTTTTCTGCCATCATCAGGACAACGACCATGCTATTGTAACCCGATCGGCCGCTTTGGTGTGTTCTCCTTTCACATATACTATTCCGCCCATGAAAGCTGCTATGACAGGAAGACCGTGGTTGCATAAATCGTTCAAGAATTCGAATGCTGTGTCTCCCTTCTCCCTTGCTTTGGCGCTAAATTAACCGAGAGCGATACCCACGGCCCAGCAAAAAACCTCGAGCGATTAGCCTCCATCCTTCAAAAGCTTCGGCCTCCCTTCGTACCACACCTGCATTCAAGAGCCCTTCTATTCCATCGCCGCAATAATCGCCCTTTCCATAGTATGCATATAATCTTCTCACCTTTCCTTGATCTTGGCATCAACCTCTGCTTGGGAAAACTTAGCCCTGTGGTCTTCGTGACCATAGGCCTCCGCCATCCCAAGTTCCAGCTGCGTCCCCTGACGCCTGAGTTCACGATGGCGGAAATATTGCCGCACACCCAAGCACAGCACGCCGGACCATGGAGAACGGTTGTGTGTCGATATGCGATTGTTGAAGAGAAACCCACACGTGTGGACAATATTGAAAATGTTACGGCTATTCCGTGTACCACTTCCTGCACATTGAAAGGGCAACCCGCGCACACGAACTATGGTACAGCAGCCCTCCCAACAAAAGTAAAACTATGGTTGGTTCCACTAGACAAGCATGAATCTTGTCGGGGCCTCTTCCTTCTGCCCCCCTCCCCTCCGCTCACCTGTTTCGCCTCCTGCCCAGACCCATCAAACCACGCGCCCCCCCTGCCTGCGACTGGGCCTCGTCTTGAGCAGCACCCTTCTCCTTGCCGTCGTGGGCATTGGCTTCACCTCCTGACCCTTCGGGGGGGTACGTCGCGGTAGCAGCCTGCGTAGCGGTAGCTTCATCAGCAGGGGCGGCGGCACCAACATCGACATCGGTTTCTTCGCCTGGAGCCACCCGAACGAGAACTGCAGCAACAGAAGCGAGTGCAGGTTGGGAGAGGAGGAGCTTCAGGAATCCGACGACAAAAAAAGAAGCTGTATGCAGAGAATGTGCACACGCGCACCGTCAAGGGAATCGTGTTGGGGGAACTTGACACTTAAACTACTTGTACTGCCTGCCATAATCGGAAGAGCGTTCCGAGTGTTCTTGTCGTGCTCAGGACTAGCAGTCTCACGCGTTGGTTTTGCTATGCTGCTGCGACGGCTGCGGTGAAATGTACGTAAAATTCAAAATTCAGCGCTGGCGTCGCGTCGAAAGCCAAGTGTGAAATAGCGTTCGGCGAACGGGTTCCCTGCTATGGTTCGACAGTCAATGCAGCAGCACGCACGCGTTGCCATCCCCTACGACGAGAGCAACAGTTCTGGAAACCTGAACGAACGAACAATACATGTTCGCGAACTGCATTGACGGGGCGAGTTTAAGATAGACCGATTCCCTAAGCATGGGAAAAATCAGGCCAGGGCAACCTTCAACGACTGACCTGCTGTGTAAGGTGTCCTTTCCTGCCGCAATGTACAGAGAAAGCATGCGACTAAGGTTGAACGTTCACCGCCTAATGCACTGTTGACCAAGGATTGTGTAACCGCACTTCCCGCCGGTGACACAAGATACCACCCCCCCCCCGGACCAATTATCAAAACTCCACTACCCACGACGACGAGGATGCATACCTGACAATACACGTTATCGGAAAAATTCTTTCTCGACGAGACGGTTTCGATGCCGCCGTTGGCCAATCTTTCTGCTGTGCACAAACTGAGCTTTGAAAATCGGTCTACTGTAGGGCGTGCGATATCTTGCGTGTCACCTACGCATACGTCGTGCGAGTTCACCTTTTTGGGACGGGGCTGAGTCCGCCGCGACAGTGATCCCTCCGGGCTCAACGTCTCCGTTGACATCGGCAGCCTTCGCCGCAGCCACAGCAGCCTCCAGCGCTGCCGCGGGGCTATCCGCTTCGACCACCGGCAGTAGAGACATCGGTGTAGCAGATGACGCGCGGGCGCTGCTAGCAGTTGCGGCAGCCGGAGTGACCGGTGTCGACGGGGCAGCGGCCAGAGACGATGAGATGCGGTCGCTGTTGGTCTCGTTCACCGGAGGAGCTGGTTGCTCTGAAGTTTGCTCTGACTCTAAAGCTTGCTCCTTTGATGAGGACGGGTCGACGTCTTTGTCGCCTGAGTCTGACTCGGAGTCGGAGGCCAGGACGTGTTCGACCTGCCGCGGGACAGTTCGAAAAAAAACAGAAGGCACGATAACGAGAAAGACGTCAGTGGTGGACTAGTTGGCCACGAGATCAATATGCGTCGGCGGCAATAGTGATGTGACAAAGAACGCATCAACCACGAACACCATGAACTGGTTTAGGGATACAATAGGTGGCCCGATACACTGGCAACTTGATTAGTGGAACTACCGGTATATGTATACTTCGAAGTATATATCTTTTTTCGTCCCATCTCTCGCGCCGCCTGCTTACTCCTCTTCGGTGCACACTACACGCTTGCCGCATATGTGCACTTACACTTGTCAACGTACTTGAACACTACAACTAGCTAGACTCACCGTCCGGGGTCACACAGGACCGATATATAGTGGCATCAATATCTCCTGTCACAATCTCAACATGTACGTGTATGATATATGAACCCAATATTTCGAATAGTGGCACATCCTCCTCTTGCCCCTACATGCCGCTATCGGGCCACCTACTGTACACATTATTGCGATTGTTTCCCCATCAGGTTGGGACCGTCTCGCTACAAGGCGGGGACTTCGGGCACGAAACACCAAATATTGAAAGACTTAGAAACAAAGCCTCTAAATAATGCAGGAGGAAATCGGACCCGAAGGACACAACCACGCTTTTCGCTCCCTCTGCCGGAGGATGGACGCTATCTGTTGGCAACGACAATATGAATCGGGCACATACGAGTAACATCCGGGTGGGACCGAGGTGCACGGAGGTGCGTCCCGAAAGCACGGTGCCACCGACAGGCGGAGGGGCTAAACTGTGGGGCATCTTGCGCGTAGCCGGCATGTGTAATACACTTGTACAAGTTGCCAAAGAATCTGACATCATGCACCTACCACGCCCACGAAAAAAGCACAAAAAACCGACCAATCTTCCAAAGAGTCGATCTCCTCTCAAGCAACACAAACACAAGCACAAGGTCAAGTCTCACCCTTCCCGTTGCCTCTTTGCCCCTCGGGGAGAGACGTGGTTGGTCCGACAGTTCCCGTCTCACCTCCGAGCTGCACTCGAAATATCGGTCCTTCGACAGCCTTCGCCCGCTCGATGCCCGCCTTGCCGCCGCCGCCGCCGCCGCCGATCTCTCCCCCAAGAACACATCCATACCCCCACATGCAGCACTACCAGTAGCTGCGGCGTTGCTGTCCTCTGGGACGCTGGTGCTGCTGCTGACACCGGCGGCAACGGCGGCGTTGCCAGCCACCGGCGGCTTGCAGGTCCCGCCGCCAATAGCAGCAGCGGCGGCATCCCCATCCTCGTGTTCCACCGGTCCTTCCTCCTCCTCTTCCTGGGCCGATTCGTCGCCAGAGAGCAGGTCGTCATTGCCGTCATTGCCGTCAGCCGCTCCGGTGTTGCCGTGCTTGCCGCCGGCGCCCATGCCGGCACCTGCAGAACTGGGGATCTCATTGTCCGCCGGTGGCGCCAGTTCCGCCGCTGCTGCCGGCTCGGACGTTGCTGCCGGCTCCGACATTGCCGCCGGCTCAGCCGTTGCAGACAGCTCCACCGTCGTTTCTACCAACGGCGGGGCGCCGGCAGCAGCCGCGGTAGCCTCGTCGTCGAGCTCGCCCGCCAACGCCGCCGTAGTCCCGCTCTTACCGTCGCCGCCGGCATCTCCCTGTTGCTTTCTCCTTGGCGATAGCGGGGAGAACACGGCCCGGGCCATCCTGAACCCCCAGCCCTTCTTCTTGCTCCCCGCGCTCTTAGCGCTCGCCGCCGCTGGGGTCTCACCACCCGCCGCCGTTTCAGACGCTCCGCCGCATGACTCGCCGGGCTGCTTGTGAACAGCGGCGTCGTGCTCGCCGTCTGGAGCAGACGACGTCGCGGTCATATCCGCCTTCTTCGCGTTGTGCGGCACATTACGGGCGGCGGAGTCGGGCACCGGCGACGCGGCGGGAGAATCGACAACGGCAACGGCTGGCTTCGGGGGCATCACCGCGGCCTCCTGTCGACCTTCACCTTCGCCTGCAGGGGCTGGAGTCCAGGTCGGCAGCGCACCATCGTGGTCGTCCCTCGCAACATCCCTGCTGGCCCCGCCGGCCAGCGGGCTCCGCGCCAGACCGCCAACACCGCTTGGAGGAGGAATGCCACCAGCGGTGGGAGAGCTCGGGATACCGCCCCCGCCGCCCACCTGCCGCAGGTCATTGATGTCGAACACTGCGGCGGCCATGTCGCAGTCCGGGCACTTGCAGGTAGAGTCCCGTTTGCAGACGATACTCGTCCCCGCCGCGAGGCTCTCAAGCGGCGAGCGCACCACCGTCGAGCCAGCGGGGGCGACTGCGGCTTTCTTGGTGATGCTGCCGACGGGGGGCGAGGAGGCAGCATTAGCGTTCTCTTTCTCGCCGCTGCCGCGGTCGTGTAGAGGAGGCTGCTGAGGCCCAACCGGAGAAAACGCCAAGTTCGGCATGTTTTGGAACGGCTCCCAAATGGTGTCGGGGTTCGACCTTGTACCCGCTGCCTGACAAACCTGACGGACGGTATGGCATCGATCCGGGGGCAATAGAGGGACGGAAATGAGGCGGTCCTCGCTGCTTAGCCGAAGGGTGGTGTCCACAGACAGAACGTTGTTGTGCGAGGTGTGCAAGTACAGAGAGAACAATGTAGTAGTCTAGGACGCTGTGCGAGAGGAGCGCCTTATCGGTTATAAGACTCGTGTTAGAATTGCTCTGCTGCCTTTGAGCTCAGCCCCACCACATTATTCCACACTGGCGGGCTCAATGACATCAAACACACGGCGCTTGACAGGAGAGGGAGCGCGGCAGGGATACCAATCCATATGGGCAAATATGCAGCTTCCATGGTTTAGCTGCACCAAGCATTTCGTATTTAGCTCCTAAGACAAAATCTGGCATACTGCTGTACTATCAACGACCCATGTAGGCTGATGGGGAGCTGGAGAATACAGAATGCAACCATGGCATGGGGAGGGCTGTGCGTAATCAGCAACCATGGCTTTCTTTCTCGCTCTGTCTCCCTCTTAATTCCAGAGTTTCGAGAGAGATATTCCACCGCAGCAAGAGAGTTGCGTGTGCATACTTACACGAATATCTCGACAGGTGCCCTCTCTAACAGATGATCGTCTCTGACACACCGCAGCTAGATATCAAGAGGGAGCAAGAGGGAAAGAGGGCACCTTGCGTTGTTGACAAAACTGCTGTAATATGGACGAGCCTACTTTGCTGTAATGCTGTAGATGGCGAGTTGTGTCTTGCTTGCCTTGCTGTCTGCGGAAATAGGGAATAACACAGGCCGCGAGAGAATATCAGGCTAGATGGTACTTTCGTTCCAGGATCAGCCACTCTTACTGCTCTAGGTCGAATTGCCATTGCTGTCTCGAATTGCTGTCTCGCTCTCTCGGACGCCAGGCCTCTTCCCCTTGCGCAACATCAACAAACCTGGGATGTGGCTTCTTCGAGTGCAAGCGAATTACGTGCCAGGCCCGTCCAAATGCTCAGCCACAGCTGCGCTGTGTGTGTGCTCCCCTTCTCTCTCTCTGTCTTTTCCCTCTCCCTCTCTCTGGCTCGCCTGGGGTAAAGCAAGCCTCTGCGTGCTGCGTTGTTGTGATTGTGAACAACACACCAACGGTCAAATTTCCCGCCGGCGGGGGAAACGCGATTGAGAACCAAAGGTAAACGGTAGGGGTTGACTGACGAAAAATGTTACAAATAAGGGGAGGGGGGGGAGGGGGGGGCTACCCGCTGATATCCTAGAGGCAGTCCGTCCACAACTACAGCTGGCCATGTCTACTTCCGGCGTCATCAACACTCCAAACCATGATGCATGGTAAGAAAGCGTGGACTCCATAGACTTTTCGCGGAGCCGAAACATGCATTTTGTCTCGTAATGATGGTAACCTTATTGATTGTATCCCCATGACGCCAACGCGGGCTGATTGCGGCAAGCCGGTCTGCGCAGATACTGCTGTAGACTACATGTTGTAGTTTTCCATCTTTTGCGAGTCAACAATCAGTGGTATCGGGCCTGAGCTCTTTTCATCTTTTGGAATGGGGTTCTATACTCGATACCCTATTCGGAATATACCGAGAGCCGCGAGAGACAGGGTTCTTGAGCTCCGTGGACAACCACGTCGAATGGGTTAACATATTAGCATGTCCAGATGCTAACATGCGTAGTCTAGACTAGACTACCACAGCAGCGCAGGAGACATGTTCGCGTCATAATCTTGACTACTGTGCATGTACCGCAGTACCAGCCTTGTCTTCACATCCTACAGCAGTAGCCGCCGATCTGTGCCCCGCACGTTCAAACAGTGCCCAGCAGTGCCAGCCGCAGCATCAAACACTGCACTAAGTTGTATTTGGGAATCGAATCTCCGATAGATCTTGTACGTGATCCCCGTAGAGTTGGACCACAAGGTACTGCAGAGCCCATCGGTATAACTCCTGTTGTATGTATTCATGGAATTCAAGGCTATGTGTGATGGTTGATGATGGTGTTGGCTCGATATGTTGTGGCAAATGTGGCTTGTGTCAACTTTGCTTGTGTGTGTGCAAACACAGCAGCAGGCGTCAGCAATGCTGCTGACACAACAGGCTCTAGTTGAAGTTAAAGTTAACCTGTGACCACGGGAATCGACCTCGTCGAGTGTTGGATCAGTACGGACATACGAAGGTACTGGGTAGAGAGATATCGGAACCGTTTTTAATTTGAAGACAACAACAACAACAACTCTCGTCGTGCAGAGGTGGAGCAACTGGTGGTTAAACCAGTGTTTGTGAAGTTTGATGATGATGTTTTAACTTGTATTAATATTAATCGTGAGCCTTGCTCCGAATACAACAGCGTATTTGTTGAGATTGTTTGGAGAGGGGGGAAAGTTGGGAGTGAACTCGTTGGGTGAGCTCGTGTCCTCACTGCCTGTCTCAAATAATCCGTCGGTACCTACCGACGCACACGTCCAAAGAACTCAACGACCGGTCCCGCAACGTTCCGGGACCCGAATACCGTTCTTACCTAACTCAAATACCATTCTTTGTAATCTCGACCATAACGTTCCTGGAGTAGTTCCATGAACCATTATGCGTAATAGGCAACACGCTGTTCCTGGGAATGTTCCGGAGAACCGGTCCAGGAACTCATAAGTTCTCAGAATACTCCTTGGGTGATTGTTCACTTGAGCGGAACAAACTTTCCGCATATGCAATACGAACAACACACTAATAGTACCAAAGCATTCATCATTGCATACAGCAACTGAAAGCAGTAACTAGCTTCCAACAGCATACTGCGCTATATATTAACATGTATGAGTACAACTGTACGCATTGTATGCATACAGTAACCTAACCCATGAACCATTCTTCGAGATAGACAATAGGCTGTTCCTGGGAACGTTCCGGAGAACCGGTCCAGGAACTCATAAGTTCTCAGAATATTCCTTGGGTGATTGTTCACTTGAGCGGAGCAAACTTTCCGCATATGCAATACGAACAATACACTAGTACCAAACCATGCATCATTGCATACAGCAACTGAAAGCAGTAACTGGCTTTTCCAACAGCATACTGCGCTATATATTAACATGTATGAGCACAACTCTATGCATACAGCCGTGCACAGAGGCCTGTGGACTACAACCGAAAAAACTTACAGAGCGGGCCGGCAACACGTACAAACTCAGAGTTTCACGGCAAGTATTGATAAGAAAAACAAAATTCAGCACACTGCTGTATGTAAACTCTCAGCAACATTTATATGCACAGCAACCTGGACTCGACGTTGGCGAACAACTAAGAAATTAGCCTCCGAGAAGGATACTTCAAATTGTCGGTTCCGTAGTTACTCTGATCCCTGGACATCCCTCGAGCCTTCGGAGCGTCGCGCTGAGTGCCCCACTCTAGATTTTGTTCAGCGCTCTCCACGGTAGGGCTCACGATGTACATGTTCTACAGTGCGGAGTCTCGCAGAGCCCAGCGCAGCTATGTATGTATGACCGACCCATATTGTACTGTAGTCCGATGGAAAAATGCTGAGAAAGTGGCGTTTCCCGACCACATCCACGTTTGCGTCTAACCTCAGGGTTGAAGGCGGCGGCGGCGGCGGCACTTCCTTCACACCCCGGCGGGGGGGTAGCTCGACCGGGGATGGCGACCCTCAACTTGACGGAATTGATCTCATGGTGCCACGACTGCCTCCTTCGAATTCTCTAGGGGGTATGGATTTGGGATCCTCCACCCGCAATGCCGAGAACGACAGCGGTGGTGTGGGATCTGCAGCATTGGAACGAGATGGCAGCAGTGAACCGAGACTGCGAGAAAGGAGCAGCACGGGTGGTAGTGCCCATGTCTTACCAGCCGAGGACCAACGCCATCAGCAAGGAGGTTGGAGCCAGATTGGCGAAAGTCTCGCGGCCACCGGCAGCGGCCGACGTAGAAACGGCAGCACCGAAGGCGGCAAGCTTTCCGCCGACGGTACTACTGTTCGAAGCGAGCGCGAAGAGCAACAGCAGCAACGCCCACGACACTCATCCCCCGCGTCAAACAAGTCCAGCAACACCCCCACAGCCAACAAGCTACACCACCACCAGCACCATCTCCAGCAGCCCAAACCACCAGGGGCGGGGACCGTCGAGTTTGCGACCCCGTCGCGGGTGCCGTCCGAACGCTCGCCCGTGGACTTCTTCGACAACCCTTCGTCGGGGGGCATCGCTTCCGCGGCCGTTGCTGCTCTCAGTGGCGGAGGTAGTAGCGGTGGCGGTGGTAGCCGGAGCAGCGCCCCGTCCACCCCACCAGGCGGGCTCCCTTCCACTAGATCTTCCCTGATCAACGCTGGTACAAAGGCGCGAGGGGCTGGCCGGGCGTCCTCTTCGGTTAGCTCGACGAGGAGTATATCTCCCGGCAGGCGTAACGGAGGAGGAGACGGAGGGAATGGCGGTGGCGGTGGCGGCGGCGGCGGCGGCGGTGGAGGTGGTGTTGGCGTCGGCGGGAGTAGCCCCAAAAAAGCAGCTCGGCGGTCAAATGACAGCAGTCAAACCCTCGGGAGAAAGAGCGTGGACAGTCAGGGCGTTTCTCACAACTTCAAGGTAAATTTTTTCAAACTCCCTTTACGGTCGTGCATGCGAGGCGAGGCAAGGGGTGTCCGATCAGGCCATGCCTTTGTCGAAAAATTGTGTTCCTATGGGGCGCGGATCATGCTGTGTGCAGGGCTATTGTAGCACTGCCCGTGGGCGCCCTACAGTAGCTAGACGTACGCAGTCTCACTGGACGACTTCAGGGGCATTTTGGAAGGGTTCCTGTAGCTCCTATCCCGAAAGTCGTGATGCCCTCGGCGTAGCCATCCATCCATGCCTATTAACGCTTGATACTGCCGGGCGTTCTCCTTCATTTCGGTACAATCAATCATGCCCCGAGGGTTCACGGCGGACTCTTTTTAGCATAGCGGTGGCGACATCTGCAGATTTCAGAATCGTCCTTGTTGCAAACTGAGGCTCGAATTACTTTTGCTCCAAAATCACCTTTAGGCCTTAGGGGTGCGTCATGAGCTAGGCATTGACGACGTTCAGCATCTCGACAGCACGTTCTGATCAGGGCTACCTCGTCTCCCCTGCTGTCCCTCAGGTCGTCATTCGCGTCCGACCCCCGCTGCCGCGAGAGGTAGAGGGGGAACGCATGTTCCAAAACATCGTGTCGGTGGACAAGGAAGAACACGTCATCACCATATCGGAGAATTTGAACGCCATTCTCGACGATGTAGGTCATTGCTTCGGGTTGGCCGTTTGATGACTAGAAGTTTCAGACGATGTCAGCCATGCCATGTTTCTGTGTCCCGAATGACGGTATGCTGTAGGTGGTGAGCACGGGCTGAACATATCGCAACAGCAGTGTTGTTGTCATACACCAAACCTGGTAACAGGTGGCGGTTCGACAGAGAAACGTTGCACAAAGACGAATCTTTGGGCGAGTTATCTCATGCGTCAACCGATTGAGCGCAGCGGTTGCTGCAGCTGCCGGACAGATGATTCTTCACTGGGCGCAGTCTCTGCTTCATCCTTCGGGCATCCTGTGATGATCTTCGTAACTTTTCGTACGTTTCGTGTGACGAAGGGTCTGGTTGTTCTGTGGAAAATGTTTCTCTGTAATATCAGTCTAATCCCCCGTTCTCGTGGAAAATGTGTTTGGACGGTGAGTCTATGCTACCGAAAAGGTAGCGTCGTTGAACGCGAGCAGTATCCTTGTGCGAGCAACAAGATTGACACTTGCACCTTCAGCAGTAGTAGGATTGTCTTATTATAGTCTTCATCGATAAGCTCGCTCGCCATCCGGTCAATGCATGAACCTGCTTCTCAGCGTCAACGTTGCCATTGACTGCAGGATGGGAGTGTTGTCAGTGCCGGAGGACCTTACAGCACCCATGCTTTCACCTTCGACCACGTCTACGACGTTTCGGCTTCGCAGCGGAAGGTATTCCAGCATCGTTTGGTGCATGCCTGGTCCGTTTGAATTTGCCTCATCCGCAATCAGCAGCCCTCACAGAATTGTCATACTTTGGAGGAAGGTGATGTATCGCTGAACCAAAACCGTTGAAAGAGTCCCTGCACGGAAATGTGCGTCGCCGAAAAGAAAACCCTCGGAGTTTCGTGACTTGCGTTGAGAGCTTGGTCAGGGTATTTCTTGTACTTTACACCTATCCTTTCGTCCTTCCATCCTGGGCCTGCATTACCCCCCAGGTGTACGACACAACCGCAATGGAGGTCGTTGACAGCAGCCTCCAGGGCTACAACGCGACGGTCTTTGCATACGGGCAGACGGTAAGAGAGTCCCACTGCCACATGCCCCTCGATGATAGGGAGCCTAGAACCCCCCAGTACCTGACACATGACCCCTCAAAAATAGATTTATGTATTTGCTCGGGTGAGCCCAGCCTCCTCCGAAGTGTCTCAGGGCATACACCTCCGTCTGTCCCAGAATCGCACAAAACACCCTGCCTTTATTTGCCATCTGATATATTTCTCTCCCGATCGACCTGAAACACATCAAATAATTCCTCGACCGCTGCACCTCCCGGCCTCAATCACTAACAGGGCACCGGCAAAACGTTCACGATGGAAGGTTTCAAGCGGGGGGCGTCGGCCGAAGACCGCGGGATAATTCCCCGCGCTATCGAGCAGGTGTTCGCCCACATACAGAGGAATGCGTCTCCGAGGTGGGAAAGTGGGTGGGGCCAAGGTTTAGCTCACACCGGCAGATAGCCAGAGAGGAAGTCAAACGCGGCCCATTCCTATGGCGTTTGTGGCGAATTTCCAACTGTGCCTGGTTTGCTTCAGTGCTGTGCTTCCATATGTCCCCGATATTTGTGCTAGGCTGAGCCGCACTCGATGTCAAATCAACCCTCACGGAAACCCCAGGATGAGGTTTCTGGTTCGGGCCTCCTACCTACAAATCTACAACGAGCAGATATCGGACCTGCTAAAGCCGGAGAGAAACAACCTAACCATCCGGGAGGACAAGAAGAGAGGCGTGTTTGTGGAGGGCCTGTCGGAATGGGTGGTGAGCGAGATGGACGCATGTGGACAAGCCATGCTGCTACTGTAGTGAACCGGCAGGGAGGTTCTGGCCGAATAGTCGTCGTCCACTCAGACCAACTGTTATGGAAGGTCTGCAGTTCCTGAGATTTGGGTTTGTAGTGAGGCCAAGAGGACATGCCACTCCGTATTTTGGTGCTATTATGTCCCGAAAAACTGGGATTTCAGATCCCAGATACCCCAGAATCTCCTTGCCCGCTGCGATTTAGAGGCCCAAACCCAAACAGATTTTTGGGCTGGGATGTTCGTCTGATGTCGTTACACAGGCGTTGTTGCGCGTGCGCGGCACCAAATGCACGTTTGTTTGCGCATTGCACCTCATCCGTGTCGACATATGTGCATGGTGATGATACAGATCAGATGTTGGACCTGTGATTCGACTCTCTGCTGATCTTGAATACACCATCGGCCAATCGACAACATGTCCACGAGCCAGGCGCAGCATTGATAGATCATGGTACCGCTGCTGCTGCATGCTCCCATTTCCAAGCCCACAACCGACCGTTACCTGTTTGCTTTTGTGGTCATGGGAAAGGAACCAACCGTCAGTTGGGGTTCTGTCGAGTTGACGCTAGTATTTTTCCGTTTTCCCACCATATGGAGGGCTGATCTCAAAAATCGCAGCTGCTTCTCTGTTGGCCTGGGAATCCAGCTGATTATGTGGTTTCCAGACAAAATGAAGACCTTCCATACGACGATTTGACATGAACATATGTGGAAACCGGGATTTTGATAGATATCTTCCTTGGGGTAGTGACGTTTAAGCGACCAGCAAAGATCAGGAGACTACCAGCAACATTATAACGGTCCGAAGATGTTTATCAAGAAAGATTCACCAAATACCGCAGCGAGTATTCCGGTGGATCTCGGAGATATGTATGGAGATGCCCGGGAAACCCCTCTCTCTCTCACTTCCACCTTTCTTGACCTAGCACGTCCGAGCAACCTCGGCCACGCTTGGCTATTCCTCACCACATATTAAGAGAGAAAAATACCCCCGCTGGTGAACGGATGATACTGGCACCGAAAAAATTGAAAGGAGTGGCGCTTCCAAATTTGGAAATCTGCAAAAAACTCGAAAGTTTGAAATTTGGAAGCACAACAGCTGCGTTTTATGCGGCCCTTTTCACCACTTCAGGGACTATGACGCTGTAGAGAGAAAGTGTAATATGAAAGACACACGTTGCCATGGTAGCTGCCAACGTTGTTAATATGTACGTCGACAGGAGTTATTGGTGAGTTTCAAACACTTGACAACAGGTATGAGTGACGTACACAAACGAGTTGAGGGGGGGGGGGAGGGGTACCCATTCTTGACTCTCGAGGACGCATGGGTATCCGTACATGCCGCAGACCACGTGTCCTAAACCGTGCGCCGGTTGTAGGCTTGCCATATTGTAAAGTTTGAAATTCTCCACAAAAAGCTGCGTTTCGCTCCCCCCCGCACCCTCTCTGATTCTGGCCTCTGTTCCCCCAAGGGGCGAACTCCCGGCGAGATCTACCGGCTG